ATATTATGTTGTTTATCATTATTGATAAGCTTACACCACTAGTATCTATATCCACCACGGAGTAGGTATACCTGTTTACCTATTATAATAATTTTTATGTCTAGAACGTAGGCAGGTATTGTTCGTGGAATTTGATATTTAACTTTCTATTGTTTATTTGTTTATTTAAGAACGCTACTTAATATTTCGATAGACACTATAGGTACCTCAGTTGTTGTCTGCCTGGGTGTAGTCTACGTATGTATTCCTATATTATTATAAGTACATCATGTTTCAAGTGGTTTTCAATAGTCTTGTAAGAAGGTACCTGCTACTTAACTTTTCGTAAAATTTTTATTTATATATAAATATTTAATTTCTTTCTTTGCAGAAAGTGAAATGAGTAGATCTGTTAAGACTCTTGTCTGTTATAACAACAAACAACCAGTAGAACAGGCTCATTGTAAAAAAACTAAGGTAAAAGGAGTAAGTAGATTCTGGAGACGTCTTGAATAAAAAGAAGATATAAAGGGTATAGTAGATAAGTTGCTTCACGTCATCGTCCATCCGCCGCGATAAGGCGCTTTATAGTCCCGGCCTTTATTTGAACTTGACACGATTCTTCTCTATCTTGATGCACTTAAACATTTTGAGATATAAACGAGCTATCGGTGTTTACTTACTTACATCAAAACTAAGAAACAATTATCAGTCAGCCGTACCTACCTTATCAATTAATGTAATAAGAAAAAATCAATTTTCTGAAGAGCTCACAATGCTCATAACTCCATATACCATTACTATTCAGTAGGTAGACATCATTTCCTCCCAAAAGCCTCACAATGTCGTCATACAGACTCCCAAGACACCGGGCACGTAACAAAATAAATTTCTATTTGGAAAGACTATTTATTATTTTGATAACTCCCAACGAATAAACAAAATCATCCGACGTATAAATATGAGATGTTTTCTATCTCAGGGTTTTTTCAAGTTACCATTGATATTCTACTTGACAAGAAGACTTCGTATTTTCGTGTCTTGTTCCTACAAGAAAATACTCTTGAAAATGTCTTAGGTAGTTACATGTTTTTCTGACCGTCCTATATAGAACTTTCACAATTCCGTTTGGTTCAGAAGTCGAGGCAAGAAACAATCACGAAGTTGCGTCCACAGTAAAACCAATACGGCAGCCCAACAAAAATCACTAACCTATCTGAAAAATAGTAGGTCACGCAATAGTTTTGGGCAGTGAACGCACGACATCGTGTTCGCATCGCATGACTAATAATGTGCTGCTTTTAATGTTTCAAAGTCAAAGGGCTAATGTTCTTTACGTAGTAACCTACGTAATCGATAGAAATGTTCAGATAGGTGAACAGAACTGTGAACACCCATTTAATCAATTCTTTCGCTGTGAACATACCTACCAGGATTCGGGAACAGTATTTACTTACTTAAATTACCATTTTATTTAGAACTTCAATGAAGTTCTCTTTAAGTACATAAATTATCTATTCATGAATGAATATTCTATGATTCGACTCCTACAAGTTGTTTTTACAATATTCATTCGCTTTTGTCCAAAAACATTTATTTCAAATTGGACCATTTACATACTACGTAGGGACTGGCTACCTACAAATAATAAGTAAATGGATAAACACAAAAATGCCTGAAAGGTGGTTACCGTTCGTAAGTAAAGTCGACAATTTAGAAAATTGTGGGGATAATACGATTATGTACGATACGATTTATGTTAAATTAAATTCAATAACATTCAGAAACTAATTAATACAATAAGTAATATAAAATATAAATTATTTACTAAGTTATAGTTATTATAATTTTACGCACATGTACGAATTCCTCTTTGAGCAATTTTTCTTTGGTCCATCTTCAATTAAATCTTTCAATAAACTTGATTTTATTTAAATTTCTCTAATATATCATGTAAATTACTTAGACGTATATAACTTATCTACATTATAATTAACATATTTTTTTACTTAGGTTTCAATCTACGACATTAAATTGAAAAATAAAACTAAATAAGGAAATAAGCACACCTACATATAATTTACACAATTGTCTTAGATGTATATAATATATAAATAAATAAAGTCTGTGGGTAGGACCGACGTGCAAATTTAAGCGAAAATTTAAAATTTAAAAAGTTGAAAAAGGCTTGAGAATGAAAGGCATGTAAATGACTTAATTTACATCACATAGTGCGCTGACGCTACAGTACCTAACCCAAAAGTGTAAGAGTCATAAATGATATAGGTATAAGTAGCTACGTATTATATTATTTTGGAAAAATGTGTCCTACCTAAAATATAAGTAGCAATGAAGTTATCTTCCTCATACACACACAAGTTTTCTTTTTCTCATGAAATATAATGTGCAAGTCTCTAGATATTTAGTCGGTAGGTAAGAAATATGATCATTGACTTTTGATTAAATGGCGCTCTTGTCTACCTACTAGCCTACTTTAGCCCTCCGGGGAGCTTTCCTAAGAGGGTATACAATTTCTTGATGAGTACCTACACTCAGATAAATGGAAATTGTCCTTTTCATACTTTATAAAAATTAAAATGAAATGACATTAGCCAGTTAAAAACCCTTTTTGAACATTACATTTATATTAAGATAGTTTACATAAGAATATACGGGCCGGCTTGTTCATTTCAGTTGACTACAGACTGTACGAATATCTAAGGAAAAATATCTCTCTACTTTGTATATAAAAGAAAAGTCTGGAGCGTAAAGGCTACAAAACATTTCGAAATAAAAGAAAGAAAATCTTTTGAATACCAGGTCGGCTGTTTTTTTAGCTCCACCATCGTTAGGTAAACGAAACACTTATGAAATCCCTCGCTATAGTATTCATATGTATATGTATTCGTATTGTAGTGGTACACATTTCAATATGTCTGCCTATTCCAGTGTCAAGCACCCTGTAGGTGGGTAGGTGAGTACCTGCCTACTCGATCATTCAATGAAAGCGTACGATTTCATACACCAATCCCATGGGGGAAAATTATCAAGATGTAAATGAATATAAAATTCTTCTATGAAGACTGAATCCATTGCTTCTATTAGACGCGTAAATCTAGGTCTGCGTGACAATAACAATTACGGAGAAATGTTAGTACGAACGAACGAATTAACATAGATTAGAATATTCCGATCTGAATATACCATCATAGTAGGTCGCCATGAAAAAAGCTTGCTTTAGAAACTACTAACAAGACACCATTTACGAGTAGGTACAATAAAAAGCTTGACTTTGCTTGTTAGTTTTGGATTTAAAATAAAAAGGGTTTAATCTGATTCATTATCATTAAAGAATCATAAAAAAATAATCTCAGGATTAACTTTTATACCCAATTTATCCCGTTCGTTAAAAGGGATAAGTACCCAAAGATTGTAAAAAACATTTATTAGTAGGTGCCCGCCTAACAACAGTTTTTAAGTAAACAGCAAATAATATTTTAATGATGATTTTAGTACGTCGACATTATATCGATTATATAAATAAGTTATTTACACCAATATAAACCAAATTATATGATTACTAGCTATTCTCGCGCGGTTTCACCCGCTGCTCAGCTCCATTTTATAGTAGCGTGATGTTTTATAGCCTATAAGACTCAGTAACATTGTAGCTATTGTCTATCAGTGAAATAATTTTGGTAAGATTACCCCCTACATACAAACTTACAAATTTTGCCTCTTTATAATATTAGTTCGTTACTCGATATACTTACTTACCTACGTTCTTCAATAACCAGCTAGGCTACACTAAACATTATGTTTTGATTAAATCTTTAATAAAATAAAGTTTGTCTACTGCTACAAAACAGGAAAATTAAGAAAAATATACTCACCAAATCTAGGTGGGTAATATTTTCCGTGACTGTTTTCACAAATCGTTATGTTTGAATGTATTAGGTACTTTACTCCTGAATTCTGTGATCTTTATCGTTGACCCGATTACTCGATAGATCGCCCATTCACGGTAAAGTAGGATGTTTGTTGAATCATCTTGATACGATGTTTCTAGGGGCATTAGCTCAATATAGCTAATTGAAGAAGTTTATTTAATTAAAAATATAGATCTATGTTCCATACTTATTTAGATATTTATGAACGCATTTGCATTTTCAAATAATCAATATATTTTGCAGTTATTTAAGCATAAATTTGCAGTTATTCTTGACGCTTTGAAACAGATGCAATCTTCAACCTAACTGACGTGAAAATAAAGTAATAATTATAACAAATAAAGATCGTTGATGCAACTCTAAAGCCGTCAAACCCTTTTAAAAGAAAACCATTTTTACTAGCAAGACGTGCATAAGGAAGTCAATAAATAACTATTTTTGACAAAAGAATAGCTGAAAATGCTTGCCAAGCTTTGACTGTTGCAGGCTAAATCTTGGCAAACAATAATACAGATACCTAAGGTTCAAATAAGAAAACATAATATAAAATCTATGAACATTTATTTGAAAACGTAGAATTCAAATAGAATAAAGTCATATACAAACCTCATATACCTAATACTTATTGGTTAACATTTCTATCATTATTTTTAATCCATGCACCATTATCTAATAAGTAGGTAGATGTTCTTAAATTTTACGTGTCCTTACTTACGTGATTGAAAATGTAAGTTTCAAAACATTTCGTACCTATCTTTATCATATCATATCTTTATCATAAGATTTCTATGTAATTTACCTCTATCCATAACAGACATTATTTTTACATAACCCAACTCTGGCTTCTTGAACGATACCTTGAAAGAGGCACTTAACGCCGCAGGAACTTGACAGGTATTGTATAATATACTGGGTAAACAATGGCGGGTAAAAACAACGACATAAGATATTGTTTTCATAATAAAAGAGTTTGAGTATGTACCTATAACCAAAGATTTCTTCGTAATTTTGTAAGAATTCCAACCCAAATCTTTAGTGTTTTTCTAACAGAGATATTTTCTTTCCAAACAGAGGGAGCTGTTCGCGGCAAAGGCAGATAGCGGAGCTGCGGCAGTCGATCGAAAGTTGTCATCATCATCGGCTGGAAGCATGAAGAATAAGTGGTTAAAGGCTTTCCGAAGCCTGAAGCCGCCTAGCGCTCCCCCACCCCATGCTGCGCCACCAGACAAGTAAGTCATACTATTTGACTTACAATATAAACATTAATGAAATTAAAATCAACTGTTCATAATTAAAAGCATGGAAATTTAATAACAGTACCTAAAGGGATACAATTTTACCGTACTTATTTCATAATTTATTCAAAATGGATGTCAAGGCTAATAAACTTAAATGAAATGACACATTATTAAGAAACAACTATTTCATTATACATAATATTATGATTATTTGTTAACTGTTCCAATCCTTTCAATTTGAAATAATCGAAAGTAAAAAAGGAGAATATTATTACTATACCTACTCCTTCTCTAGAAAATACCAAGAATCCTTCCAATGTTACCCTATATAAGGAAATTACGGTGCAAAGCAATACTAAGGCCAGGAAATAACAGTTGTAATGACTACGTGTGTACACGTGCTTTATATTCGTAATTATTTTTACAAGAAATTCTCTTTCAAAGAATTAAAAAACTTAAATAAATAACTTTAATAAAAAATAAAATAAATATTTTCTGATCTTCATTTAAGAAACGAACCTTTACTCGTATAACTCTGTAAAGCTACATGGTAAAATAATTATGACGAATGAAATCTTATTCGACCTGAGTTGTACCCAATTCATTGTTTTATTCTCTCGGGAAAATTCCATTTCAACAGTGCCATGTACGCCGAAATTGAACGAGCCTGATTTAAATCTACAAGGTACAACGTTGTCCTCCCTCGATGCGTCATCACGAACATGCAGCTTGAAAATCTAGGAAAGATTCTCGACCCTGTCACAGTTGTCATAGAAATCAGATTACAATTATTGATCACTTGCATTATGTAAGAGCCTTATGTCTCCCTGCAAACAAGATTACTAACGCAAGTATCCGCTTTACAATGTAAGGCTTCTAAATGTGCTTAACAAAGTTAATTATTATTTGAAAGAGCTGTAAAAAACTCAAAATTACGTCTGCAGTCTTATCAGTACACTAAATCCCCGCGTGTTTAAGCAATTTACTATTTTTGGAAATCATCAAGTTTTGAACCCGTCTCTACCGTTAATAAAAACGTTTTTTTAAACTACAAGATGACTTATCTATATTTTATATAAATTGAAACAATCTCGTAGCGTCATTGATCCGGTTAATTTACCGCACAAAGAATAAACAAAAAAAAATGGTAAAGAAAGAAGAAAGAAAGAAAGAAAGAAAAACCATTTATTTCACACACAAATGACGCAAGAAACAAACATACACGAATATAGATAAAGAGGGACAAAACAAGCAATGAACATAAAAGAGAGAAAAAAAAAAAGAAAAGCACTAAAATTGCGTCACTCATGCGTGAAAAAGGGCAGCGCTCAGCATAAATGCTGTGTCTCGTGCATAAAGCAATTGTTCTATAACCTATTATAATAAAAATAATACTTGAATATTTCAAATTTTATAATAGTAATAACAAAGTTAGTCAACAAACGATAACCAACCTCGTAAATAAACATAAACAAAATAATTCAAGCGTAACACCGAATCTTCAACGAGGGCGTTGAGTTTGGAAGAAATTCTAGTGCGGGCGATGTTTCAAGCGCTCTATACAAATAATGAAACTCAAGATAACGAGATGCACACAATAGTCACAGAGCTACGAACTAGTCTGTTGATACAATAGAGAAGGAGCGCCACTTTCAGCAATACCATTTTTATTCTCTATTTTCGTGTTCACACATTTGGATTTACGCCGTGACCCGGAAAAGGCAACATAGTTAGGACCTAACGACTACGTACCTGTATGACTGTATTGTTTATATATCATACATGTATTTTCATAAAATTTTCAATAGATTATATTGTATCCACATGCTGTAAATTGCTGAAATTAAAGAATATGCTTTATCTGGATCTTATATTTACTATTTTTAATACGTGGGGCTAGGAACCCCAAATTTTCCCATTTTATAAACCTGCAAGCTTTGTCACACGATGTTTTTATATTCATCTTACAATTAATCAAAATATTAAAGTCTCACATCCATTTTGAAATTGTTTTCAAAAAACTGTATCATGCCTCGTGTCTAGTGTCAGCAAAAGCATTCAGTGTAAGTCATTTAATTAAAACTAAACTAGAAATACAAAACTCATATTAACACAACAGCACTGTAATTATTAAATCACTTACACTTACTTACGGTAATCTGTGATGATATAAAAATACATTTAATAACAATAAACATCAGAAACTTTATACCATTTGTCCGTTATCAAATGCATCGCTATCACACAGGTTTCTGTACTAATTGTATTTGATCACGTTTAATTCATGTTTTGTTCATCTTGATGTTTCTCTCTTTTTGCATCGATAAAGAAAAAATCAAATGTACCACGCGGTGTCGACGGTAATGGCAATGAGGTAACTGTGCCCCGTAGGTGTGAGCCTATGTATGTACATGTTTCATTTTGTCCAGATGTTGGAACTATCGCTCATCCTTTGACACGTAGATAATACCCTAAATAGCATGTTGATATTATTTTTGCTTGATCACAAACAATACTTATGTTAGCGATGATAATTTGTCACCAGCTTTTAGATAAAAACAATCACTTCCGCCAGTACTCTGATGCGCTTGGAATCCTTCAATCCTTTCAGCTTTAAATTGAGTTCGCAATAAATCTGAATATCTATCAGTGTGGTTGCTTTGTTTCAGTCTGATCCAATGGATTGTATAATTTCTGTGAAAGATAGTTCGTGCTTAAACCAATCCTCAAGGCGAAGGAAAGTCATTACGGAACAGTTCATTAGTAGTTGTGCCGGTGTCGGCGAAAGACTGATTACCGACTACCTCGTAGACTGATTCACGAACTGTCTCCCCTTGACCTTGGACGTCACCGATCAATATCAATGACGTACAAAAATTATAATATGACAGCCCACATACAGAATTAATAAATTTCATGCTACTAGTCTTGTTCGAGCCTAAATTATATTGAAAGATTTTCATTGAAAGTATGTCCCTACACACGAATATAAGTTATATAAATATATATACTGAACACCGTTTCATTTAATTTACAAGCAATTGGTAAATTAGTAAGGTCCTTATGTAAATGTTTAACAAAAAGTAAGCATGTAGAAAGCTAGAAAAAAACTATTAGAATTTAAAACTGAACCTTCAGCTAACTTGGTGCAATCTCTGAAATGGACTAAAGAATTCAAACATTAGTGTGCAAATGTGAACTGTTTTCTAGGAGGAATGGAGCGGCAAGAGACGCAATGCGCGCCGGCGGAGATTCCGAGGCACATAATTTTCAAGAATACACCTACAAGAAAATCACGCCTTGCGATGTTTGCTCACAAGTGCTACGAGGTAAGACAAAGTATTTTTTACTCGGTGCTTCACAAATAATTGATATTTTTAACGTAGGCAATAATTTTGTTGAAATATAATCTATTCCAAAAAGACGTTTGCTTATGTTAATTAGCAAATGGGACTTATAAATTAATATTACATGTTATATAAAATTCTGAAACAATCACACTAATTAAACCGAGGCATTGTTGACATTAAGTGCTTGTAAGTACTCTCTGGGTAGTTAGAATGACACGCCCTAACGGTGTTTTGAATATTCGACGGGTATAGGTGGCCTAATATGTATTTGAAGCCACTGGTCTGTGAGACCAATGTCATATTGCAAATTGTTTTTATTGAATTTATAAATTGGAAAGCAAACTGTATCGAACGTGAACCCAATTACGAGAAAGCAAAGCCATTAGTGAGGGCACACGTGATAAGCCAATGCAGCTTTAGCAGAGAGTAAAATTAAACATGAATGCCAACTCCGACTCTTATATATGTCGCAGGGATATGATAAATTCAGGGATGATATATATGGCCTTAATATTTGAAAATATTTATACGCAAATCTAAATTGACATTGAATTCTCTCTAAAGTATCTATTTCTTTCTCTAGTATATGACACAATTATAATAACTTCTTCTTCAGGTGTACAGTTAAAGCCTCTATAAAGTTAAATGTATGAATTAAATGTTTATGACGTAGACAAGACACATCCCATGTGCCAGATAAAGATGGTATTTCTAGAAATGAAATGAATCTAGATTTATTTAGTATACATATAACTATTAAGTTATTGGCCTATCCCATTAATTTATTAGAATGGAAACTAAATAAATAAGAAGTATCCTTAACTCTAATATCATGTACCGATCGATGAAGTGTCCTATTGTTTTAAAAGACTTAAAACTATATGAGCATTTCTGTAGCAATTTTAAACAAAAATACCTCGAACCACGTGCAGTAATTGTCAACGGAGGGTTGTGACATTTATTTGTCTAACGGTCGTTTTCATTACAACGTGACTTAGGTAACGTTGAGGGGTTTGATTTAGAAATTAAACCTGTTTGTGTTATGTGATTGGAACAATTTTTATAATTAAACTTTAAAACAAACGACACTGTTATTTTTGTTGCTGTTTATTTTTTTATGGCAGTATTAAGATATACTTAGTACTATAATACTATCCACTATACACCAGATTGTAGCAATAATGACATAAATACAATATTACTAGAATCAATATTATTTTCAGCGGATTGCGTCCTTGAATAGGCACCCAATCGCCCATGTCTTCCATTTTGGAATGCGTCAAACTTATCATTGTTTTTACTTTATTATTGTGCTTTACGAGCTTATGATTGCGAAGTAAATTGCTTCAATTTTCAATTTCATGACATTGAATACTAAATCAGTCGGTAAATGACTAAGCAGGTTCAGCGAAACTATTTCGTCGTACCATGACTCAATTGGAAGGGTACAAGAATGAGAATGTGATTTAGGATAGTTATTTTACCACTGATTGCTGTTTCGCGTGGTTCGTTTTGACTACACTATGGTTAATAAATTAATTACTGCCCTAATATATATATACATGTATGTATAATTCGCACAGTTAGACAATAGTTATTATTTGGAGCCGTTTCTATGTAATAGGGAATGCCACCAGGCATAATTCCGAGCCTTGCGCTGTTAGGCACTAGAAATTTTCCAAAAATAATTACCCATTAACAATTTTCACATCTTAAAAAGAACTCCGTCACTTCGCAATTTTATTTAAAAAAAAAACTAAACTTTCATCAAAATACTTCACAATTGTTAAAAGTTATTTTTACTTACCTAATTTTTAAGACAATTTAAGTAGTTGCTTAAATACAAAAATATTTATCTATTTTTTGCTGAGTATAATTCTCCGAGCTGACTATATTTCATTATTAGTATCAGCCAACACACTGTCATAGTAGTAACACGTAAACAAAATTGAGTGATATTATATCTTGCCTGTAAGAAAGAAGCTATTAGCCAACTAAAAGGAAAAAGAAAATAGTCTTATATAAAAAGGTAATAATATAGCCGCTCTATAAACAATAGAAGCTGCTGATCTTAATTGAATGTGCCTTCGTGACTTCATAGACAAATTAGCTCATAGTTATCTGAATTAAATAGGTACTACTTATACACGTTGACATGAATACCATTAGTATGAAATTGAAAGCCTATGGCCTATCGAGAGATGATCTCCGGCCACCGTAAGCGCGATTCTGCGGACGGCGAGTAAGGGTAGCTCGCCGCCCGACCAGAACCAGACCCGAGCGTACGGCGCGTAGCGTTCCGCACGCGCCTCAAAAAGTCACTAGACCACCACAGACGGAGCCCTGTAGGGCTGATGTTCAGCCGAAGTTGCGGGTTCAGCGCAATAAGTTACCACGGCCTCGGCCGGGAAGGAACGGGGGTTTTTAGTCAGTGAGAGTCTGACACTCTCTCTCGCCTTACCCTGGACGGGAGAAGTCATTTAATGATTTTCCCCTCAAAAAAAAAGCCTATATAAAGCCTGATACCCCCACAATCCCCAAATTTCCTTCTCCTGTAGTATTTCGATTGAGGATGTCCCTGGGCGACCCAATTGCTTACCACCAGATGGTCCGCCAGCTCGTTTGCCGTTCTATGCTAAATTTTATACTTTTTAATAAAATTTAGCATTTTATTCTATCTACTTCCATAGCGTGTTGAACTATATAAATACATTTAGCTTAGGTTAATAAGTGGTAGAAAATAAGGCCTGGAGCATTTGTGCGTGCCTTAACGTTTCTACAAAAGCCACCTTTTACTAACAGGTACTCACAGCCTTTATTGGAAACGAATAAGAGTGAATTTTGTATTTCAAGTGTAGAACCGTTACTTAGGTGTTCCAATTTTAACAAAAATACCAGGTAACCGGAACATGATTAAAATCAAAATTGTTATTCTGTAAGCTTTAGGGCCTTTTATACTTATTAGGTGGATACAGACAGAAATATTATTGCTGTTAAAGTACAGAATTTAAAGAAGTACTCGCTTATTTATGTAAACTCTTGAAAATTGTGTTTGTTATTTATACTACAGTTTCAATGCAAATGTTTGAATGGAGTAGTCATGAATACATGAAAAATATTTAGGTAGTGATTTAATGTCGTCCATGGAAGCAATTGATATTTCACTGGATATGACAAAACTTATTACTTAATGAAATCTGGTCCTCTTAAAAATTATTATACGTCCAGGTTTCGTCACGATGTTTACCTTCACCGTGGTGTCTCAATAATCTTAGAAAGTACATATAATTTGGAAAAAGGCAATTGGTACTTGCCATGTTTCGAACCCACACCCTCATGCATGAGAACTACGACACTTCTTACCTTCTATTCCTAATAAAAAATCCTATGTTACCTGATTCTTTCCCAAAAACAACCTGCCTATGGTTTGACAATCAGTCCGAAGAAGGCGTGGTCACCATCCATGACATACTTTCGCAGTTCTTTCGCAACATTGTTTACTTAGGTACTCCATAAGCTTGGAAATAATGATACTCGTACACGAAAGGTGTTAGTAAAATTTTTGACAGTGATTTTCTTTGAACTAGACTCCTTTCACAACTTACACACTTGAATTCAGAAACTGGTCTTTTGGCTCTTATAGTGAAAAATTAAAAAGCTATAAAAACTAAGAAGTAGGTAGGCTTTGATCTTATTGTAACAATTTTGTGCGTTGTCTGTACAGGTCACACTCGCCAAGGGCTTCGTTGTCGATTATGCAAATTGAACGTGCACACCGACTGCATGCCGCAAGTCGGCAGGTGTCAGACCAAATCTCGACTCCTGCGCCGACAGAAGAGTACTTCCGAGATAGAGTCTCACAGAGTGCTGGAAACAGCCTTCGACGATGAAAGTAAGCTTTACAAAAACAAAAAAAAATAAACTTAAGTATTTTACAGTCACAAAATTTATGCTAAATGTAATTATATTAAACCATAACGACATTCAAACACCAGTAAATCTAACAACCGATCTAGATTTTTTACCTAATATTTAAATGCTAAAAACATGTTTGAATAACGTATAATTTACTTGTAAGAAAATGCTTTCAGAAGTTATGGTAAGTTCAGATTGTAATTTGAAAATCCCATTCAGTTACTATTAGAAGTAAATTACACCTGTTATAATAAAATTCCTTCGCGAAAACATGTATGATGTTGAAAAACAGGATTTTGACACTTTATGCCACGAATAGATCAAATCATTATGAAACTGAAACTGAGAACACAGCCTCTGAAGCATGCCAAAACACACAAAGATCATATATCACGCATAGCTAAGAACACAATCGGAAGCTAACCTCACGTTGTCCAGGGGTGGAGGACGGGTGGCTGCCGGGACAGAGACTTACCAAGATCTCATTCAAGGGGTCTGTCGAGTTCGATGATGATTTCGATAGCTACTGTGACTCGGGTACGGTATCAGACAGGAGTGACCCCTGTGCACCCTCCCGAAGCCGAGCGTTCGATATGACTAACAACACTCAGCGATCCTCTGCCCAACTACAAATACTGTACATAAACGGTTACCTACTAACAAGCGAGCTCCAGACATGATACCACCTCGCGTACACATTAACAGTTCGAGTACCTCTAAACTATCGTCGTATAGCGAACCTGAATCTAATCGCATTTCGCTCGATGCTCAGAGGAGGAAGTGGATCAAACCTACCAAGTTCTGAAGCGGGCCAACGAAATTGGAAAGCCGGGCGGCGGCGGGGAATCGCGCGGGGGACCTGTAGTACGCGTGTCGGCCCCGGACGAGACGCCACCCGCGCGTTCACCGGCGCGGCCCTCCGCAGGCCTGGCCGTGGCGCCGCAGCCCGTCTCCTCTAGCTCAGGTCTGGCGCCGCACCCGAGCTCGCTCGCTTCTCCGCTCGAGTCGCGCCGTAGGCCGATGGCCGTGCGCGTCGCATGTCGACACGCGGCGGCCGATCGGCAGCTTCACTCAAATTCACTCGTTTTCAGTAGTGTCGAGTTGTTTTTTGCACGCATTGTATAGTCGCGGGCGCAGGACGGGGGCGGGGTGCGGTCGGTACTGAGCGCTGCTTGTCGATAGGCGGGGCGACGCGGCCCGACGGCGGTGTGCGGCGGAAGCTGTTCGCCGGCGTCAAGAGTTTATCCATGTGGGGCTCGCGGTCGCGCCGCGGCTCGCCGCAGCACCGGTCCATTTCCCTGCCAGAAAGTACGCGCCCACGGCTGCCGTAGCTCATCGCTCTGTCGTCTCACAGCTTTATTTGTCCCGTCTTCTGCGTTACGGTGCCACGTTTTCGTTGTGTGTTCAGTATTTTTGTTCATTTATTTTTATTTCGCGATTGCAGTGTTAGTATAGAAAAATAGGACTAAACAATAGTCGAAGCTCGGCAAGCACCTTAGATGCTTTATCCTGTCCCTGCAGGGTTCATTTACCTTTCCTAAATAGGTATTTACTGAAAATTCAGTCAAGCGTCATATTTGATCCGAACTACCCTTATTCCCTACTTTTCTATTTTTATTTGTTTTATTGTGTTTATTTGTATTTATATGTTGCTTTTATTTATTTTGTTTTGTCCGCACATTGTCTTTGCAGAGACGGAGGTGACGACCACACGACCTTTCGGACAGCCCCTATGTTTAGTTAACGAAAACGGCGATCCACCGCCTTCAATTCTCAAGTCCACAGCGAGCGTCCGCAAGAAATGATTAGCGAGATAGCAAACCCAAGGGATCGAGATCAATAATCATATCGCCTCGTAGGCAAGAGCACTGACTCAGCGCGGCAGTTTGGCATGTCCTCAATAACCGCTTCTCGGATGTCTTTGTTATAACTACCCCGAAGCGCCCCGCGTACTGTGATAAATATAATTATATTGTTACTGTTACAATAAATGACAAAAAATAAGCTTCCTTTTCTCTGATTACCCTCGAGCACTCTGTTTTACTCTTGATTCGGAGTCGTCTGTACATTTATCTGCGAGTGCGTTTTGATGTAAGTGGTGCATGGCTTTAAGGCGTCGTGCCGATGTTTGCATGCGTTTTTAACATCGGCATTTACACAACCGACACGATACCTCTCTTCTCTAAATTGCACTCACTTGTCACTTGCCTTCCACAAGTCAAACTCCACTTCTATCGTTTCACGATGTATCAAGCTCACGTTAACCCGTAACTACCACGCCATGTCAAACTTCACAGAACACGCCACTCTTCAAATACTAACCCTACCTACAATACCGCTAATTGACTGAGGTTTCGTTTGGTTTCGCTTCCTTTAGGAATTAACCCAGCGTTTTATTTTAAAGTTATCCAGGGCACCTACGAAAGGAATAAATAGAACTAGTTTTGAAATAATTATAGAATGGCTCCTGTTTACTTGTCCACACAGGTTCAATGAAGAACTCGAAGAGTGCCCAAATGTTGAGGCAAGCAGACCGCACCAGTCCCTTACCTGGTACCGATATTGACATCGTATATAAGCGAATCCCCGTAGATCACTTCCACGTTGTTGGTTGAGACATACGTTGCATCGATGAGCATTTGACAACAAACCTCATTCATGATGCCACATATCTGTTACTATCTGAAAGCTGCTGATGACAAGCTGTATCTGATAATAAATAGATTAATGAGCCTCTAGTTGTCACTCAACTTTACGCGTCACAACTAAAGAGTAGCTTTCACTATAGTATTCTACTTACTAAGTACTTCTATATGTAGATGTTAGGTGTTTTTTTACTGTTGACTTACTTTTTGCATCTCTATTCTTCTCTTATTCTTACTTTGGTTCGCACTGCTTACGCACATTGAATTCTAGATCTAATTTTTTTTATTATAATTATAGTTTGCTTGTATTCTTAATATCGTTGTTAACATACATATAACAATAAGACTTTACCCACAATCCTCAACAAATCTTTGTATTACTTGCGGCCTTGCTATCAAATGTTGAGAACACTTCACGGGTGCACGAACTTTGAAGTTGAAGATTGTGGATAAGACAGTCTTACAAATATCAACATTTAGTTTTGGAAGACATTAAAATTCAATTACTTAACGTGGATACTTGCCCCACAAAACAAAAATTTGTTATCATTTCACCAATTAAGCTAGACATACCTACAACCCTAAACTTACAAATTAATTAAATTCCTTTTCATTACAAAACTCATCACACAATTAACAGTACATGAATACATTCACACTCGTTCAAAACTGAAATAATAACAAATGGTGTGGGTGAGTATTAGATCATAAGCTCATACAACATCCATTTTATAGCGCCGCATTCTCCGAGACGTCAAAAGTTGAACCTTAGGATGAAGAGTTTGTCGCTGGACTCGCCGGAGTGTGGTGAGCTGAGACGGCGGCCCGCGCGCGACCAGACCTCGCAGGGCAGCCGCGTGCTATGTACGATCTGACAGTAATACAAACGCCTGGGTCCAAATAACCTCACGCTGCTACCATTTATTGCTTCTCAGAGTCTCTGTTACTTTTCATCTACTAACTATCCCAAGTGGTCTTCGGTTGTCATAATAAAAATCTTTAGTTGAGTACGATACAGCAGTTTCCGTTACAAACATTTCGTATATATTCTTTCTCTCTCTTGATATCGGAAAGGAACACATAATTTGGGATAGTTCGTAAGATGACGTAAGCATCTATGCCTTCCGCAAAAATCTCCGCTTTAACGCTGCGTGCATGCGGAGTCGCCACTCACAGCCTATGACAAAAGAGGTTGATAGTTTGGCTGAATTTTGGTTCTTTGGACTCTGGTACTTGATGTCAAACTGTTGTGTCAGCACAAGCAATGTTCACCTCTAAAGTCTATCCCTCCGGCTTAGCTTGTGTGTGTTAGTAAGTTGGTAGGTACCCAGTGGTATTTATTATGTCTAGACATACTTGCAGTATTCGAGGTCGTTATGTTTTGACAAATGAGCAACTAACCGTGGATTTCTCGTCTTGTACATGTTTATATTATTCCAATACAAACGCGAACAGAATTCCTAAGTCACATTGGCATTTTAAAAAAATATCAAAATACAATCATGATCATAATTTGTAACGTAACCACGCAAGATCATAAAAAAAAAATTAATTTGTCATTTCAATTTAGTACACTCACTGCCAAATTATATTAGGTATTAGATTATTTCCACGATCAAACCGTAAGTAAAGTTTTCAGCATGCTATTTATGTTTTATTTTTATTTTTTCTAGGTAACTGCAGAGCAGTTTGCATGAGGCATGGCTTTAATAGAATTAATAACTACGCGATTCATAGTTATACTCGTTCATGTACGTTATTATTTTTTATTTTATTATTTATCGTTAACAGAAAAATGATGTTTGTATTGGTAAACCGAAAATTCATTATAAATCATAGTAAAGCTTTTACGAAGCGTCCAATAACGCTATTGTTGTCAAAGATAATAGATAACATAATACCCTGTGTAAAGATCACATATTCATTAGCCTTATCGATTTACTGATACAACATTGTTTTTCTGCGTTATTTAATAGATAAGTAGCTCTAATCTAATAAGTCTCTCGAGTATTTATGACCCTTTTAACATTGTGACGATCTCTGCATGTTAACATGTGCACTATCTGAAATAACACTCACTTGATTTTTAATTACTATGGTACTGTAATACACAATTTGTTAGCATAAAAAGTGATTCCCACTAAAATCAGGTGTTGTCGTATGCAGTGCATCTTGTCTGACACGATTTTAATTGAAAAATGTTGTCCTAAAGGGCTACACTTCATAACTTAGAAATATCAAAAGTTCATGTTTAAAATCTAGAATCGATTACCTAAATACACAAAGTTGTGAATTGTTACTCTTAAATCAATAAGATTCGTTAATAATGACCATATTCGCAAAAACATTAGCTAACTTAAAATTTTGATCAATATCTTAATCTGAGCTTAATTAACAAAGTAATCCAGATGGATTCACAGTTGGCTAAAGTTTAAGAAGCTTGAGTGTGCCGAGATGTTTAAGGTCGAGATTAAAAGACATTGTTTAGCACGTTTTCGGCATCTCCCCATTTTTGACGCAATTGATTTTGTTGGTGGAAGGATATAGCCAAGAATATGTGCTGGATAATATTTTAACTGGCCTCAGTATGTTTTAGGTATATATAAACAATGTTGACTATGTACAGCGCCGTCATCGCCAGTCCACAGCCGAAGGATGCTTACTGCTCGAGTAGGACGTATGAGTAGCGTGGAACTACCTGATGAGCCAGACAAGAGTCTGTCTTCTAACAGCGCCAGCCCGTGCCCTTCACCAGTGAAGCAGATGAGCGTAAGCACCTACCTATAAAAAATATTTCCGTTTTGTCTTGTGTGTAGTAGAATGTTGATATGGCATCCAAAACATTGTTAACTTTTTAGATTCAATAATTGTGATGTAGGCAGGCAAATGTAACCCATAATTTTGTACCTTCGTTAATTACAATTATGTACCTCTACTATTATCCTGAACCTATGTATATACGTATACATACATATATGTACTTACCCACATACAGTTTAATTTGCAAAAAATATACGTTAATATCTTTTTTGTGGGTTCTGTAGTTCTCTTACCTAACGGCCTTTTTTCCTTTAATCCACAAATAAAGATTTATCTACCTGTTTACCTAATTCCTTACATTTCCTGGTCCGGGAACTGGCACACGGCACGGGGGCATTACTTCTTTGCCACACCTTCGTTACCTACGGAAATAGATCGTATGTCGGGCAAGCAATGGGAAATAATGCATGGAAACACAAACAAATGCTAGTACATTATAAGCTTTTTGCGTAACTTTTATATTACCTAAATTCATTTTCATGCTTTGTCTAATATGTCACATTAATAACTACAATCAATATATTTGAATAGATGTCCAGCTTAAAAAAAACTATCGCTTTAGTAGTTCTATTTTGTTTTGTCGACAATAAACAAGACACAAAAGTAAAATGTGGCTTACAATTGAGTTACACTAAAATATTCTACCGCCCTATATGGCAACCTTTACGCTTCAATTTTAACTTATCTATTGTGTTGAAGATTGTTGAGCTGTCAAGCGTCGCCCCCTAGGGTAAAAAACAAAGTTCAAACACGATAACACTTTTACTGCTATCTACAGCTATAAAATTCTTTAAATAGAATGTATTGACGAAATGTCGTGTTATACACTCCACAGGGAATATCGGAGACATGACACGGAGATGTATCTCTTTAATATTTCAGGTCATCGAACTTACAAAATAGAGAATGCAAAAATACATTAAACTTTCTTACGTAAAATGATTTAAAATTCTATAACGTATTTTCTAATCCAAAAGACTGAGTATGTTCTCTATTCATGAATCAACTAGAAATCTTGGATTTTCCTGAGAGAGAAAAATCTTTAATTTCGTTCTTTGACTATATTCTTATATTGTAAGCAATCTTTGAAAGTAATGTAGCAGACAAATATAGTGATTTGAAAGCAAATTATATGAAAGCGCAGTTGTGATTGTAGACTGTTGTAGCGACCAGAGTTTGTAGCCTTGAACGTGTCATGTATATTTATATAAGATATTTTCCGTGCTCATACCTACCTGCAATGACAAAGATACAAGTGGCGTTTTTGTCTTATACATCTCATATTTTTCAAACTATTGTTTTTAATGTATGTATATAAATTTAAACAATCTCTTATATTCCTAAAAATATTTATTCTACTAATCTGTGCTACATATGTATATCCTACTATAGACGTATGTAGATGGTAAATAACCCGACTTCTCTCTACTACAAAGATTAACATACACAAATAAGTTGGAGTCGAAGGTAACAAATACGAGAGAGAGTAAGATTTCCCAGCTCTACCTATGTAGTTCTTTTTGCCTCAATGAGACTTTAAACCTTATAAAACAAAACAAAAATACTTTAAGTACTCTACAGATATTTCAATTGAGTTCGATCTGTTTTTATTTTCACAGAAACATCAACGCCTCCTACCAACAAATCTGTATGTGGTTCTGTACAACTTCAAGTCACGTCATGCCGATGAACTTGACCTTAAGGCGGGCTACAAGGTCACTGTGATCGACACTTCGGACCCTGACTGGTGGAAGGGCAAATGTCTCGGAAAGATTGGATACTTCCCCTCCAAATACTGCACTAAGCTCCAAGCTGGAGAGAGGGCCTTGCAAGTCACACATAATCTTCAGGTAATAATCAAAGTCTGTTTATTTATTTAAACAAAATTTCTATACCTACAAAATTCCGTGTCTATTTTTGATTCAGTACAAACGTAATAGGAACTTTTCAACTTATTGAAATAATAACCATAGAAAATCAATTTAATAGTTTTGTTTTTCACAAAACTAATTTTCTTGTGACGAATTTATGCGTACAACTTTTAAACTTAAAATTGTTTTACTGCAATTGACAAAGTATAACTTCTATTCTTAAAATTGATTATTAATTTGTATTTTCGTGTCTGTATGGGAATGATTGATTTGGTACATATTTGCAATTTTTTCTTTAGATAATTATCCCAACATGGATATAGGGATTGAAACAATTGAAAGCTATATTCTTCTAAAACAATAGCCAAGTCAAAATTCAAATGAGTTGAGTACACTCGTAAAACTAGCTTAATGAATTCAACTCCATTGTATTGTATTCTGTCTTTGTGGCGAACGGAAGTCCGAGCGATGAAAACTCAAGGTTATTGTTGGTGCATTGTTTGCAGCCTACAGTTATGTAACACATTTGACAGCTGCATTGAATAAATGAAACTATTTCCACTTCGAAAGATATATCAACCATCAACGGTAAAAATAATCTTTATCAAAAAACCAACTTCTTACAATAATTTTACTTCTATCTATTTAATACTAGTTTTTAAATGTTGAAGTCTTATTATTATTATATTATTAGATACCTATTGTTACTTAGATTATAATTATAACATATTATATATATTATATGTTAATTATTATAAGTAGGTACATACCTGTCGATTAATATAATTTTCTATTATAGTTGTTGTTTTGTTATTGCTTTAATTAGGTAATATATGAAATTATTATTGTTTGTACTTATTAATTAATTTAATGTTATAGTAAGGTTGTTGAAGCATTCATTTACTTTATTTAGGTAGAGTTACGTGGTCATCGCGACAAATACCAGAATAGAAAATGTTTGCATTATAATGTAGCAAGCACTAACAGCGGTTAAGCCCGCGAAAAAAAATAGAAAATCCAGTTTGATTAATAGACTACTTACTAAACGACCAACTGTTCCAAATATACAAAATGATAATTTAACAGCTTAATATTTACCCAGTCATCTAATCTATACTACATAAACTATCGAGGGAAAACAAGCATAATCTCTCTCTGGCATGAAGCCAAGGCAAGATGCATCGGGATCGCAAAATTTTAGTGAAGAGTGGTTGAGTCTCGAATCGAACACTACTTATCGCAGACTTGTGATCCTCATAAAAATAGTTTATTCAGCAACTTTTGATTAAACTATAAAAAGTAGAATTTTGATCACTATAAATATATATGGCTTTTTGAATCCTACAGTCAACCTAAGTTACTTAAAACAAACAATAAAGTTATTAAGCCATTTTCAAATTGACGCCTAAAATAAGAGATTCGCCCTTAAATTTTGTCTATATCTATGTATAATATAAAAATGAATCGCGAAATATGTTGGTAAGCGCATAACTCAATAACGACTTTACCAATTTTGCTGATTCTTTTTTGTTTTGTTCGTTATTTTTATGTGAAGGTTCTTACGAAAGAAAACTTTAGAAAAGTAAAGGGGAATATGGGGAATTAACAATCCTGTATGTGCTGTGACCGTTTGCTAAAAAAACAAATGACTGACGGGGTAGTCGGATACCACGGAATAGAAAATCTGTTCTGTGTCGGATACCTACTTACCCGTGCGACGCAGGGGCGCTCCGCTAGTTATTGTAATAAAAAGAAGGGTGCTTCTTAATAAAGAGTAGGTGGAATCATTTTCTGTTATAATCATACAACATAATAATATTGTTCCGTAACACGTTACAATACACATAGTTCGCAACATCAACTCGTTTTTTTGCGTGTAGAAGATTTTCCTACCACTGAAACCATATGTTCACAAATAAAAAATAATAGAATAAATACTTAACCCTTTTATTATAGACCAACTGAATAGTTATTTCAAACAACAAGTGTTAAAAGGTACCTGTTATCAAACAGAGGTCTTCCTAAGTCCCGATTTACTAACTCTGTGAAACACTTCACTCCTTTTAAGAAAAATAAACTTTAAGACTTACGAAATTAAATGTAATTTTCAATCGGCAGGTGTCAGATGGAGACACGGGTATGATGCTGCTCCGTGACCAGATCGTGATCCAAGTGGGAGAGGAGGTTGACGGCATGATGCTGATCCGCTCCGGAGATAACCGCCAGGCGGTGTGTCCGGTCAAATTTCTACAGGAAGTGTGACGCTTCAAGCTGCCCAATTTCGATTTTATGAGAGTAAGTAAAACCATTCCGAATTTACCATTTTCTTGAATAGTAGGGTACTATGCGTGCTATTGATACCAATGTGCTATATATGTATTATGTTCATATGTAACTTAATACACCATCACACAAATCAATTACGTGAACAAACAAACGAATTGATGCCTAGGTATATTCTAAGTATTTCTGAACGATACAATACTAGACTAGATACACACATTCACTATATGTATAGTATATAGTAGGCTTGATTAGTTGTCAAGTGTCAGCTGCTAATGCGTAATTAAATTATCAATACTAATAACATCTAAAGCCTCTATAAGTATCCATGCTACAGTCGAAGTACCCATACAAAGCTTACACTGTAATGCAATATCAACCACGTGCTTCACACCAATCACGGCTGACTTAATGGGATTAAACATGTGTGTCTGAGCCAAATCAATACATGTACGCAGTTGTACTAATTTATAGTCAACTGTCAATATACAATTCGTTACGCAATTTGTGAATGACGTATAATAAGGTATAATTAAGGTAACTTTATTTTAAAATAAACATTAATATATTTCAGAAACGCGGCTCCCTAACTGACGATACGATACCAATACGATCTATACCAAAAACAATCCGAAGTGCTCCAGTAACACCATGCGACAGCGAAACGTCTACATGGTCGGACCGAAATCGTAGCAAGCACGGCTACGACTTATCCCCAGGATACGCTACAAGCTACGGAAACTACGAGAAGCCTAGCTACTCCTACGATAAATCGGGCTACGAAGCGAGCTACGAGGCTTCCACTTCTACGGCATCGGGGTCGCAAAGTAAAGGAAACTACGATTCGGGGGTTTACGAGAAGGATTACGACACGTCGTACGACAAGGCGGGATACGACGCGTCGTACAGTAGCAGGGGGACTTACGAAGGTTCTACAGGGTACGACAAGGGGAACGAGGCGGGATACAAGCACAGCGGCGCGGACTATGAGGCGGAGGGTGGCGGCGCGTCGTGGTGGCGGCGGCCGCTGGGGGTGCGGCGCGCGGGGGGGACGGGGGGGACGGTCGCAGGCTGCGGGCGCTGCGCTCCCCCCGCCAGCTCGGCGTCGCGGCCGCTGCGCACGCGGCCTCCGCCCTGCGCCTGCGCATGCGCCGCCGCCGCCGACGCCGCTCCGCGACCGACGCGCCCCGCCATGTCGCGCGACCGACCATTGCTTTTCGTTAAGCAACTCTTTTTGTAATTTTTATAACTATATATTTCGCTAATATCATTGTATTTCGTTTTCTTTCCTGTAGTATAAGTTTCCAGTTATTTGGTAAGCTTCGAAACCGGCTATTCGAATTTAAGTATACAAATAGTATTTTGTCATTTTGTAACTTCTTTACTTGTTGTTGTATGTTGTATTTTATCGCTTGTGTAAAGTTGGGTTTTAAGGTGAATTGGGCGTATTACAATAACGATTAGGTAAACGGCCTACATAAAATATTACTTTCGGTAATTTTCTTAATCTCCCAATTTACATAATTTTCTAATATTATATAAATTATATGTATATTATACACATCGTATTACGGTCCATTTACGAAAATTACTTGGCTACATATCATTTTTTGAACAATGTGATTTAAAATTTAAATTAATTTAATTGGAATATAAATATATACTATTGTATTGAATAAGACTTATTTATAAAGAGCGTGATCTACAAAGAGATACTTTGCACATTTTATAATTATATGTTGTCATTAAATTAAAATGTTTCGAATGCTTAAAGCTAACCACAATAGTGACGGAGGTAGAGAAAATAGTAATAAGAGAATATTGGTGGTCGAGTAGAGGAGACATAGTAATGTTATAATAATATTAGCTTATCCAAGTATAGATTAGAACCGCACGTTATTTAAGTTGAATATGTTCGTGTATTAGTTAATTGCAGGAATGTTTAGTTTAGTCTAGCCTTACACTGTCTTAGCCTGTGACATTTGATAAGTAATTAGCTTATGTACCGTGGAACGATACCCATGTTCATTAACACTATAATTAACGATGCAAGTAAGTATCGCTTGTCTGTCATTACCGTAGTGTCTCAGGCCTCCATTTTGTTTAACGATTGCAAAATGTCGTTTTATATTATTCTTTAATATATGGCTTTATACTTTTCTTCCCTTATTTCAGGCTGGTATTTTATTAATTAAAGATAGTTTAGACCATTGTGTGCCCAAATTCTCAAACGTTTTGTAACTTGTGTCGTTTTGCCGGTTCACGCAAGAACCGCTTTACAGTTTCGAGTGTATCAGCACATGTCAGTGTATTACCGGCCGTACTTAAATTAATTATTTATCAAATATACCAACAATAACGTGTCGATATAATTATTGTTATAATTATACATACCTAATTATTAATATACTATCAGAATAATATCAAATTCGTAATTATTTAAGTTAGGTAGTCAACAAGAGTCAAGACGTTTTGTCTACTCGACGTTTTTGGGCGGAAAATTAGTTCTATTGCTAATAGTTTAATTAAAAATCTATATAAAGATACACTGCTCCGTTCATTAATGGGATAATTACATATTCATATGCATTGATAGCACATAGTATTGTATTTATTTACACTAAACATTTTTCAAATACACACCTTTAGTCATATAAACCTAGGTTCAGCCCTAGGTCTAAAGATCTGGCGCCAATGATATCTATCAAACAGAAAACTCAAATACTGTAATTAATATTACAGCCAATTATTAATGAATCGTCGTGTTTATCATCCTGCTTGACACGTTTATATGCGTGATTTAAATACTTAGATATGATTTACATGGTCATTAATCTCATAGTAGCTTCTAAAACAAATTGTGTTTTCATATGAATGAAATAAGTTGTTATATTATATGTATTCATATTTCATTTAACACATCATATAGTCTTTGATGTTTACCTCGACATAGTCTTAAAACAATAAACAGATTATTATAGAGAAATATATAGAGATTTTGATGACACATATTAAAGTGTTGACTATCTATTTTATTTTGAATAGAGCTATAATTATATACCTACCTATATACCTACATGAGTGCTATTTTTCATAACCTGACGTTACAGATTTTTCCTATACTTACTTATATGTATATTTCATCATTCGAATAATCTATTTACAAATTTCTCTATTCCTATTACCTTCAAAAGCGTATTTATTTTCAAAGAAAATCATCGTGAGAAAAAGATATATCCTAAATTTATCGATAACTTTATTAAATGTTAACGCATTATTTCAGTTAACACGTTAAGCCGTCCCCTGAAGTTTTAAGGATATATACGTATATGAATATATAAAATATATACATGATACCAAATTATTGTAAGATGCACATTACATTAGCTTAGTACGTAAAACGTAATGTAGGCTCGTTGAGAACTTAGTGGCGATTCGTACTATAAGCCAGATGTCGATGAAAGATATCAAAATGTGGACTGTACTTAGCAAATGTTGGTACATGTATTGTATACTGCACTTGGAAGCCCGACCTGCCATTCTATTAAAGCATCTTAGCGTTTTAGGCAACGTTACATTCTAACAATTAGTTATTTTTTGTCGATCGCGGAAGGCGGTAGCAATTACCTGCTAGCGAACAATTTAGTTTATCGACCTTCTATGAAACAAGTAAATGGGAATGTCTTGAAGGCATTTTTTTGAAAACTTATCTCAATAGAAAATATTTAGCTAAGCTTTATCAGATCTCAGAATTATTATGTCTTAGCTATCTCTTAAGCCTAAGTATGAGTCAGGTTCCTTACAAATATATTGCATTTAATGCTCTCGAGTTATTTACCAAAAATGCTTTTTGAAAGTTTATTTATTGAGGAATTACTTGGCGTTCTGTGACCTGAAATGTATACTTAAGAGAAAGAAAAAGAAAATCTACATACAGAAACAAGTATAAGTAAATAGTATATACGTAAAGAGGTACGCACGTAATAGATAGCTAGGAAAAAATAAAATAGAAAATATCCACCAGATTACCAATTTGTACTACATTTACTGACACATTAAGTGAATCTTTTAGAGATGTCACATCAAAAAATATTTATTCGTATAGCATTGACTACTGATTTTAAATATTAATGACTTCGATTAATAATTATTATGTTACAAATCGCCATGTCCAAAACTAATACCAAATATACCGCATACCTCAAACCAAACTACTAATTATACTGTCAGTAACTGTTGCACAATTAAGTTGTAGGTTTAAGAAATAATACTTTATCTTGAAAATATGGAACATTAACTTATAATAATTACACATGATGGTTATTCAGATACCTCAGCATCTTCTCATTTTGTTTTCGATCTGCCCATAAAGATACATTGACCATATATAAAAATTGTAAGACATATAAAATTAGATTAAATATTATTTGTTGTCAGTATGTTTGCTGTCGACTGTTACGTTGCTATAGGTACAGTTGGTTAGTTTTAAATAAAAAGTTCGGTAAATAATTTATTATATTTATAATTAATTAATATATATGGCAGATTGAAGATTGATAGTTATGTAGAATATAAAATACAAAAAAGTTTATGTAGTAACCGTATGGAGTCATTCGTAGTGGTAGCCTCGAGTTACGTATCTGTAACCACCCCTCTAGCATAGTTAGGTGTTCGTGCTAAATGTTCTAAGATAAAACACTTATAGAGTATTCCACTTTAAACTGTTATACCTTTATCCATATAAATATTCGTTATAAGTATTTAAAAAAAAGACGAAAAACGGAACCAAATTAATGAATATGTATTAGCATAGGCCCTAGACTACCTGCGAAACGAATCCCAAGTGAGATGTTTGTATCGTAATTAAATGGATATTTTAGTAATATATAAGTGATGATATATTGCATAAAATTATACATAATCGACGTTTTGGTCTGTCTCTAACTATGAAGTATAACAACTACTTACAAAATCTCGATTTCATTCTTGTTCGTTACATTTTTGTGAGTAGTTTGTTTATTTGAAAAGTGTTGTCGCGCCCTTTTTTCTATCTCAGTAGGTAGGTACTATGTTTTTCAATCCTTTTTAAAGAAGTTCAATCTTTACAAAAAGGTGTAGACATATGAAATTACTAAATAGGTAAATTACTTAGGTTTACTGCCTACACGACAGTTTCGAGAAAATGTTACTTACTTGAAAAACACCGTTTTATTTTTAATGAAAAACTGTTTACTTAGTTTTAAAACTCTTTACAGACTATACAAATATAGGTACAGTTAAGTTATGTCTCAAATAAATATGTTCCGGGTGAAAATATTAAGTAAAGTAGGTAAACTAAAAGCCACAATTGGCTTATATTTATTTCATGATAGGTACATTATTTTTCTAACTTTCCATTAAACATCTATTGTCTATTGTCTTTGTCTATTTAATAAATTAATATACTTACTTAATCAAAATAAAATGAAATTTTTAAAATTATATTGATAAGATTGTATTCAATTGTTTCAAATAAAATTATACCTAATACATAAAAATAATCCCTAATTATATATCTACTAAATAATTATATTCTAATTTAATCCCAATGCAATTTAAGTGTGAAGACTGAAAAATCAAATTGTTGTAAAGTTTTTGGACGGAGTAATTATACTTGTAGTTAGAAATGGCCACACTTAAATGTTAATCGTGAACACGAATTATCCAATGAGCTATTATTGTAAGTAACACCCGAGTAGGTTTAGTTAACTGCAGTTTATGTGACTTATCGTTTAGGAAAAGAGTGCTCGCATGGGTAACATTAATATTGTTTAGAAAAAATATCAATTGTCGCTTGTTTTCTGTTGAAGGTGCGTTCATTTAATTCCGGAGTTTAATGAGAATGTTGTGTTAGAAATAAAGATTGTGTCTTGATACTGCAGTTTTAATTAAACCTTGGTCGATCGCGTTACCTAACCGGGAACACACCACCTACATGGGTGAGAACATAGGATTAGGTACGAAGAATATTGCTATATACCTCACCCTTTAAATGTCATTATTGCTAAAAATGTCATTAACCTCAGCGTAGTAGACAAGGTTATTTTGAATTGATACTTATCAGCATACCAATAATTTTGCCCTAAATACTTATGCTCGCTCTAATTGAAAACATCCCGATAATCTAATTTGCCAATGACATCTATCGTCTGGAATGTCAGTAAACAAATGACAGTGCGAGTACCCCACGTACCCGGCAGATGGCGTTGAGTGTAGGTGTAACGTTCCAAAGTAAGCATGCGTGCTTCACACATTCTAGTGATGCGAGACAGCATCTCTCTCTATTGCAAAGAGCCGTCGACAGATGCACACACAGCTGATTATCAGAAAACATTATCAACTGTGTGAATGAATTTAGATTAAACTTGGCAAAGACATGTTATCAATACACATAGCTACCTATTTCTCTAATGTGAAAAGCATACCTATATTAATGAAAAATGCTATTTAATTACGTCATACTTGAGAAATTCCTTAAATTATAAATTCCAACGAAAGTATCGAACCGAAACAGCGTGTTATGCTACATGCGCAGGCCGGCATGGCGGCAAGCGGCAAGGCGCTGGCGAGTGCCGACCCTACTCCTCGCCTCCACGCCATGTGTCGATAACCCTGCAGCAGACGCGGCTTACCAACATCACGCCTGCGCCGGTGACGTCTCTCAGCGGCGGCAATAACCTGGACGCATTCCAATGAATTCGCGAATGCGTCGCGACACTTTCTTATTCTTTCAACTAGCTAAAAAACTTATTAACAAAACTTATTGATACAATATAACAAAAATACCATAGTTACGTTACTTAAGATACTCATATTTGATGCTAAATGTTATTTAATGTGACTGTAGGAAATACGGTGTGTGCCACTCCAGTGTGCCGCCTCTAGGCAGTTTAACATTCTTTCACATAGATGGCAGCAGTGAAAATATTTGACATTCCTTGGATTCCAATCGCAGTGGGCTCGGCTCAAATGTCAAACGCGACTATTTCGTCAACAGAGTCGTGGCGCGATAGTTGGATTTTATGAAATAACAACAAATACTTGTACACAGTGCGTTTGACGGACAATGGATAATAAACGATAGAAGTCAGTATATTTTTTGCGTCGTAGAAGTAACCAGCGTGTCGTGTTAATCTGACGAATGTATACAGAGTTGTTGCGATTCCGATACTTACCTATTGATTTTTGTTCTTCGCCGGTTTTGTAACATTGTCATGAAGGTTTCAGTTATTTAGAACGCTATAAACTTTACAAACTTGTAACTTAACGTCGTGGTAATTGATTAAAATTATAAATATTGTGTGAAACAACATTTCCCTTGGTCTCATAGAAGAACATCGTGGGAAAACATACATTGTGTAAGTACCCTCACTGTTTATTTGTTATTTATTGTGGTGTTAAATATATAAAATTTGTGAATGTGTTTATCTACTTACTACCTCAGTGCAATCATATAAGTGAGTGATGATAGACAATATATGAACTTGTTTATGTTACATAAACACATATTTATCTGTTTACGAGTACAGGGTGACCTACAAAACAAAGTTTTACAAAGTAAATTAACTAATTCAACCTGAAAACCACCTGATTCGTAAACGGATGAAGCGTAGAAAACAGAAAACTAGAATTATTACGAATGCTAATGCGACTAAATGGCAATGTATATCAATGCCATTCTTCTTCCATCGGTCATCGTCCATCATGAGTGCTGAGAGCGGCTAAGTACCTTACGCTGCTATGCTATAAGTAATGTAATGACTTGGTACCTACCGGTTTGATTTGCGAGCGCGCCATGCAAAAAATTTCGCCGCTATTCGGAGCGAAGGCAACAAGGTATTCAGCGAAGCTACATGGCATGGAATCTCGCGAACATAATAGTGTGGAATGCGACCGTACGCGGCGTACAAACGCTCTATTCCCACACAAGCGCATGTAGCCGCCGTACTCTGTGATAAGAGCACGATAAACGTCGCCCGATTAGCCAATGTTGACGGTGACCCCGTATGGATTCCGTCAATTGTATTGGAACCACGCAGACTTGACGGTAGACTTTTAGAATTACTCGGGATTTTATCATACTGTGTGAGTAATCTTTACGACTAAATGTGACTGTATAGGTAGGTACTGTTCCTCAGGTTGTTCCTGTATTTTTGTGATATATTTTGCATGATGAGTTTTGTAAATTAACACAATGAAATTTATTCAGTAAAAACAAAACGTAAGCTAACTTACTATACGGTTAACAGCCTACGTACTTACTTACGACCTACCTACTTATCTTTCACAAATACAGTTACTTATTTCTCATTTTGTTATCCTAATGTTACAACAGAAAATACTTGCTTAAGATAGATGAACCTAGTTAGAGTAATTGACTACCTAGTTAACATTGCTAACGGTATTTTTACGCGTAGTGATTCCAAACTCAAGGCAGCCGCGTTACTTTTTGGTAGCATCGACAGTATACGAGGGGGTATCGGGCACCCCACAATAGTAACATCTGCTCATATTCCGGCCCTAGCCACGTGCGTCGCGCAGCAGGGGTAGCGACCGTCGTAAAAGAATACGCCTCACCCCAAATGCGGGCCAACCGACAAAAGAATACTTAAAACCGTCCGCCTCCATACATAACCCTAACCCCTAGACTTAAGGTACACTTTCAAAAGATTTACGTTAAACTGAAATAGATTATTATTTTTAACATTCGGAATGTCAAGGTTCGACCACCATGTGGTTTACGTTTGAAGACTGGCAGGTGATAAAAATTTAGGTTGTATTTTGTAATTAGAATTGCCTCTGTACATTGTCATTTGTCAATTTTTTTACTCCTTTATGATTTATGTAGGAGCTATCTATCAGTTGTCTTTATGAAGGAATGTCTAATTAAAAGTTAATTCTTGCTTCGTTTGTCATGTTTTAGTATATTACTACAATTTAATATCAGTCTAGTAGTAGGTTTATATTTAGATTCATAAACATCACAATACAAATACAGCACGTCTTCTTAGCCATAATAAGTATTAATGTTGTCTGTAACTTTATGGTTTTCTGCCCACCGGCGGTATTTGTTTGTTTTCTTTTACTATCAAAGGTTATAATATTATAAGTAATTGTATTCTAGATAATAATTCTTCGCAGATGTTGTACAGCTGCAGCTGTTGTAAATGTAAACTTACATATCCATTTTTATTTCTTTATCGGCCTTATGTATTTCAGCCTTTATCGTCTGGTCACATTGTAATTAGAATAAGCGATATCCAAAAATCTTTCTAACATACTTACGTCATTTACTACCATCCTCATTTTCACACACTAAATCACCTAAGTTATAGATAAATTTGGTTTTCTTTTAACTTTTTGAAACAAAATAATATTCCAACCTACATTTACATAGTTATTTTGATTATCAGTCTGTCGGTCAGTTTAGTTCGGTAACCTATGTAGGTGTTCATTGGACATCATTATACACTATAAGTAGATCAGACTGTGACGTTACTCATCAAACATTTCAAAATAAATTGTTATTGTCCAATTATCAATTTCTGATTCATTCAATGTTGTAACGCTTAAAGAATTCAAGCTGGAGGCTAGCATTTCACTCAAAAATATGTCCAAGTAGTTAACTTTTTAGTGAAATTTACGTGTCAAATTCCATTACAAGTTCCATGTTCCGTTGAATGAGTTCGTGACCATCTGACTATGTGTCGAATGATCTATTCGACGTGTGTATACCGACATACCAACACTGACCGTACTCGTGACTCCGCCTCCGGCCAGAAAAATTCTATTGTGGTTAATGTACCAAATTCCTCATCATTAACGTAGTCATCGCATCACTCGTCATACCAATGTTTTGTTTACCCTTCTCTTCTCCATCTCTCTACCTTATTTGATAAAAGCACCACGCAACGTTACTTTTAAATGTAATGTCATTATTTTCACATTCCAGGAACCTAACCTCCATTTAGATTCGTTAGTGGCATTTGTTTATGAAATATTTTATGCATGCGCCGCACCAGGAATGCGCATCTTCGTTTCGTTCACTTTATTGTATCTTTAATATCATTAATTATAGTCCATTTAATGGATCTTACAATACAGCTACTGACTGTCAGGTATTCAGTTAATTAAGCAACGACATTGTCATCTATTTGTTTTGTTTGGCATGAGCGTCACAGAAATATTTTGCATGGTATGCAGATTTAACTATGCGAATCTTGTTTATTATTAACTATATATTTTGGTCTCCGTTGTCCAATAATACGCAATGAACAAAGTTCGGTCAGGTTATAATTAAAGTTTTTGGAATCTGGTCCAAAATATCCGCGACTCATCGATCATTAAGCTAATTAAGAAATATTGAAGTCGCGAGCGGTCGCGACTACCTCGTTAATCTTAAAAATATGGCGCAGTTTTTAATAAAAATAGATTAAAATGTGTACTGTAATGGTCTAATAACTTTCTTGGTACAAAATGTAATTTTATGTTAGGCAGGTTTATGTTAAGAGGTAAAGAATAACACTGATGATGATGGGGCAATTATAGAAAGGTTAGGTCAATATAAGTATTACAGCTTTTATAAAAATAATATACCTTTTATTATACCGTAAACTTAATAATCTTAGTCTTTAGTTCTTTTTATCGTTGATTTGCAAACGATACACGACTTTCGTATAAAACGCAATATGTTGAATATGTATTTAAATAATTGGGTAATTAGTTTGAAGTTTGAAATCATTAAAAAGTTTAAACAGAAGCATGTGGTCTTTCCTGGCCGTCAAGAATCCCCATCTCGTAAGACGCCTTACTCGTTCCAGTGTAAAGAAACCCAACAGTTGCAAGTTAATTAAAGATGAAATGCTAATATTTTGGCGTGGTTTTAGTGTCTGATCTGCGATACAGTGGTCCATTGGCTTCGTTCCCGGCGCGGTCGCGGTATGCGGCCGATTGCCACGTTTCACAACTCTTTGTTTGATCATCTGATTCCTCCCTCTTATTTACGTGGTGTTCGTACGACTCGCCGCTCGTCTGTCCACCGTCTAGCCGTTTACGTGCCGTGAGGAATTTCCGCCGCTTTGGTATTCGCATGCCTTTATGACTTTTAGTCTGCGATATTTAATTCCAAACCAAACAGCTCCGCGTTGCCAGACATGAATTCCTTCAAATATTTATACTAAATGAATAATGTCGACTACACGTTTTCGAACCAAAATATCTTCGGATGATATTGAACTGTCATTTGTTATGATAACGTTTAATTTTGATGTGAAATGTAACAATTATAATCGATGATGATTACAGTTACTGATACGACTGAGTGTATGGTGATTGATTAGTAATAATATTTCTTCCGTACCTATATTTTTTAAGAATATGAATGAATCTTAACTGTTTTATTTATTGTATCAGGTAAATATGGAGAAGGTGGAGTCAGCACTAGACGTGTTATCGCGTGCTGCAACGATGGTGCAGCCGTGCCCCGCATACCCTGCCAGCGACTCTGACAGCTTCGGTAAATATTAAGAATAACAATAATTTACTATTCTATTAATGAGTAGGTAACACAGCCCAGAATAATTAAAAAAAATGTTTTATAGGTAAGTTTTATCATCTTTCATAAAAAACAATTATAGCTAAGTACTTTCATGTACCTAGATGTTACTATAAGTGGGATTACAATAAATACCTAATTGAAAAAACATTAGCTATTTTATCATTAAACAAAACACAAATATGATTGGAATGTAATGAACGATTAATTTGGAACGATATTGCGATAGCAATATACCGAAAATAGTTGTCGGTAAAGAAAGAGGCAACAAAACGAATGTGATAATAAAATTTGATAAAGCGTCCGCTGAATATCGGCTACCTATGCGCGAGATGGCACGCGGCCTTGTAGGCGGGTCGCATTCCAGATTCCACCTGACATTGTTTAATAGACGTCCAACGAGACTGTCGCGTGCTAGTCGCTCGCTTAGAAAAGCCATCTATATCTCCTAACGTAACAATGTATACTTATACATCTATATTTATAAACTTAGCACAATTGTCCGCTATACCAACTCTGTTGTCCTCCACAAAATGAATTTCAATGATCATTATTATTTCGCTTAAAGTAGATATTTGTGTCGTTCAACCCTACGAACCAGCAAACAATCGAGTTTTTTTTTTGTCGGAATTGTTGCTTCAAGCGGCTTCACAACGGCAATCGTTTCACAAAGGATATTATTGTCTAAGTACTTATCTACTTGGACTGGTTTCGCGATGAAAGGCTTCATTGACGATTAAACCTCGCTTCCTCGATGACCGACTGAATATGACCGTCACGCCGACCAATTTTTTCTTGGTAGTATGCATTCGAGCGTCACATCCGGGTTCAATGTAGATACTTTAGAGTTTCGCACACAGTTAAGGAAATTATTATGGTTATGAACGATTAAAAATTAATAAGCCTTTCTCTCTAAGAATAACTTAACAATGGAGTTAAACTCCGATGAGAAAGCAGAGCTTTCTGAGTGCCACGGCCACCGCGCGAATATACTATGGCGACGACATGAAACGCGTCCCGCGCAAATTTCGCCGACCCACAATCCGACGAGCCATCCGGCTTACCTTACATCCCTCCAGCAAACAACTGCATACCAATATTACGTTTACGCAATTCTAAAATAGTAGCAGTTACCTACTAATCACTATAAATTACAGAACAAATGTTGAAACTATTCTTTATCTTCATGGTCAATTCATACCTAGATAATTTATTGAATTTTGGGTGTAAAGAAAACTATAGGTACGCAGTAGGTTCATGTTTTTAATATTATCACGCAGACAATTAGTCTAAAGAATTTTGCAGATAAAAAATATGTAATTTTAATTCCACTTAACGATGCAGATTTGATACGCGTACCTATCTAATCAAAATACGGTCACGCAATTTAAGTGATGTGTTCTTGTTTATTGAGTGTTTACAAACAATGGTCGGATCGCGGATAATTATGCAACGCGATGACAGCGGCACGGCCGCACGCGGCTCGGCGCTCACTTTCGTTGGTCTGCGTGCGGAGGCGACGGCGCATGCGTGTGCGCCCCGGCCACCACCAGCACCAGAGAAAGCGTTCAGGAATTTGGTCGGACCATGCTCTCTACCGACCAACAAATTGGCACGGCTCATGTTTTAGGGCTGCCTCGTCAACTACGAGCACGCAGATCACGTTACGCTTATGTAAACCACTAGGTACGCAAAAACTAACTCTTACATAAAATGGTTAAGTTGTCTCCGTTTATGTTATTCACTTAGTTCTAACCCATAATCTGGGAATATAATTGCGTTATCTTTGTTGATAAAATCAAGTAAGCAAATAATTATTCGTAAAGAAATAGTTACGTTTATAGCATACCCATTGAATTCCCCGGATCCGAGAGTTAACATTCTAGCACTTGGAAATAGACGGCTATCAATAAATTGATCATATCAATCGCATTACTTTGTGTATGTAGTTTTACAGCTCTCTAGAAATGCAATACCTGGCATTCTATCACATGTATCAAATTGAAATAGGTTTTATTGCGAAAGATATTGGGGTGAATGTGGCATGAACGAGTATATCCGGAACGCAGAGGCGGCGTGTTACGGTTTCGAAAAGAATGCTGAATGTAGGTTGCGTTGCGGACTACAGTTACGAGCATTCTTAGGACGGTATGCAATCACTGATCACTATTGTTGTAAGTACAAATATTATTTTCGGACGTGCTAAACTATTGCTGTTTGCCTAGTAGCACTACGGATTAGCAAAGAACAGTAAAACAGTAGATAGGTACCATTGATTAGATCCTACCTGTGTATCTGATGTAACTAAATGGTACACTCGCGTAAAATATGAAAGGCTCTGTAGTCAATAAATTCCAACATGTAGCTGCTGGAAAAATGCGTGTTCGAGTGACACCTGAGTGAGGCGGGGTGGACACGGCACGCGCTGAAGGAATCCCGATAGCAATGAAGTCATCATGTACAGTAGAATTTCTAATGGCAACGGATTCCATTTCGTTGGCAGCGAAGCGAGAGTGCAGCTATTCCAGCTATTCGGGCCGTCTCGCATATTGTTACAATGATCTAATAGAGCTCGCTAACTAGACGCCAATGATATTTGTACAATCTTTTTATTATTACCACACAATTCTAAATCTTGTATCCGTGCACGTTTACGTATATACTCGTATCTAAGGAATATTTCGAAAATTTTATACACACTTCATTTAGACGCTGCTGACCCGTTTGAGTGACATTGAACGCGAATTTATATTTTATGACGCTTCGGTTGCAGACACTTCATTGTGATAATCGTGATGGGCGTCAACAAAAGGACGAATGTTATGACTGCAGAGATTTCTGAATGTTTATGTTTATTATAACTGAAGGAGAACAATACTTTTTTATCTTAATATTATTACTAGTTCGTTATAGAGAGGAAAAAAAGCTTATATTTAATGAACTTTGCATCAACTATGCACGTCTCATTGTATATATATATATTAACCAATTAAAAGGGCTGCTTTAAGCGTCAATTAAAGATTCGTTCCGCGATTCCTGCGACATGCCTTGATACTCGCATCGACTTGTACTTATTAATAAGTAAGGAATGTTAATAACCTTCAGGGAGTTTGATTTTTCACTTGACCTCACATAGTATAGTCACGTTATCGTGTCTTCGAATACTTGAATGTTTACGCCATATGGAATGCACAGCTTGTGCTCGTTGTAGATAATAAAATTCTCAATAAACAGTAAGTAGACAGACACTAAACATGCATGGATTCCAGACAACGCCCGTGGTCGCTGTGATGCAATGTGCCCTGTGTGACGGAATTCCATCATTTTTTACGCTAAAAAGACAATTTTAAGTGCCACGAGCGAGATAATAAATTATAGAAAGTTCTTTAGAATGATTAATCTAGTCAGTTTGCCCGATTATGTGCGACGTTTATGAATTGAGACGTTTTTCTCCGCTCCATTAGGCGTTATGATAATATGTTTTTTATCCGAATTCCATTCGTATGCGTGGTTGGACGTTGTGTGAAACATTAGGCCAACATTTGAATCCACATAAGGGATCTCTATAGTTGCGATTGAATTGATCGAAGCATGTCAGGGCTGCCACGTACCGATACACGAATGTACGTGGTGCTATGTCAAGTTATGTAATGATAAGTACGGCGCATACATAGCGGGGTTGGGACTGCCTGACTGACCCAACTGGACATTTGTACACATCACCGATGTGCCACCTATTAAAATTAGTACCTATTAAGATTGCGCAAGTATCTTACAGTCAGAGTTGATTGTTGAAGTCAATTCTTAAGCTAGACCTACGAAGTACTTCATATTTGTTGAGAGAATGTATATTGATTATAACAGCTGAACTTTTACAGGTATAAGATTCTATACCGTTTACAACTAACATAACATCTTTGTTTATTGGTGAAAGCTTTAGAACAGATATTAAATTCTACCTAAGCTCGCCGTAAAATCAGTAATGCACGTTCCAATAATTCCTGTTGTTATTATTATATAAACGTGACCGTTACATTTTAAATTTGTTTTACAAAACACATAATTAGGTATATATAAAACAATCTTCAAGATTGTATTAAAATTTTAGATTAGATCCTATTAATATTTTTCTCAGTTTTTAAATATGGCATCAATTCGAAATTGTCCAACATTGTTCTTGTTTCCTGAGTCCTACGTCTTATAAAATAAGCGATAGATATTATTATAGGTAGTAAGATGTATTTCTATTGGCATGTCATAAACAAACCTAGCCAAAAAAATGCTCGTCAATAACTCTATAAGTAATACTTAATAACATATTAGGCTTAAACTTTTTTTACTTTAGTCTAGGACTAAACCATTGAGCCAGTTTTCGTATTTCGAATTAAGGTAGATGACAATAAGATTCAAAATTCAAAACCCGACTCAATGGTTTAAACCTGGACTAAAGATAAACTTTGTTTTGTAATAAGGGGGTTTGGGATTTTAACTGAATTCAATCCCTTCCAACTTTATAAATGGTTAGTCCATTTATAAAGTTGGAAGGGATTGAATTCAGTTAGCATTCACCTTATATTTTTTTGTAAAGAAACATTGTAGGTAAGTAGTTACTTGTATAAGTGTGTAATTGCAACACAATGATTTGAACTCGCGTAACAGTAATTGATGTGCAGTTAGCCTTTTTTACTCCGTACCGTACAATTAGCAAAGTTGACGTTCCATTGTTCTTAAAGTGAACGAGCAATAATCATGGTAGGTACGTATGCGAGAAACTTTATAATGCCACTGATCATTCAAGCTTCCATATAAAATTACGACCCGCCTTGAACGGTGACATCGGCATCTTTATATTATGATTGAATTTTAATGTTAGATAACCCTGATGAAATAAATTTATCTAGCGATCGTACTTAGGTCGTCTAAGGCCCGAGTTTACCAAAACATACCTACGTTAACCACTC